CTAGTGGTTAGCTGCACTTGCAGCGGGGAAAGTGCAGCTTCCTGAAATCAAAGACTTTCACACCTTGCACCTCTGAAGGGATCTCATAGCTACCCAGGAAAGATCAGGGAACTTGTAGGTGAATCAAGAAAAGATGGACCTTCTGCAGGCATCCAGTGAGTCTGAGCTCATGTAGGAAGGAAACTTGACTTATACCCTTGTAAAGGATGCCTTGGAGAGAAGCACATCCTGCAGTGCTGAGACAGTGTAAGCAATAAGCTTATGCAGAGACATAAAATTTCATTGTTCATTGCTATTCATCTTCATTGTTAATAGATGAAACAGGATCAGGTGGAAATGGGCTTAAGCTGCGCCAGGGGAGGTTTAGGCTGGAAATTAGGAAAAATTTCTTTACGGAAAGGGTAGTCAAGCATTGGAACAGGCTGCCCAGAGAGGTGGTGGAGTCACCATCCCTGGAAGTGTTCAAAAAATGGGTAGATGTGGCACTTTGGGACATGGTTAGGTCTAGTCTACCCTTGATTGGTTTAGTGTGGACTTGGTAGCGTAGGTTAATGGTTGGACTGGATGATCTTAAAGGTCTTTTCCAACCTAAACGATTCTATGATTCTATACATTGATAGACATATTAGAACGGCTTCAGAGAGATATGAATGCCCTGTCTTGCAAACCAGCTGCCATCCTAGTGAGTGCTGGAGTGCTCGCTCTGGCCAGCGTGGGGGACGTAGGGCAGGCACTCAAGCCTTTGGTTCTGGAGCACTCTGAGGCACTGCAACAGGAGTGGGCATGTGCTCCAGGAAAGCTCTGGACGGAGGATGTTCTCCTCATTCCACCAAGGTTTTGCTTTAGTTTATGATTTTCTAAAGAACTCTTCCATCTGGATAACTGATAATTAAGACACTAGAGAAGACATCTTGTAAAGGAAACTGTAAGCAGAGAGGGGACTTTTGTCCGTCTCCTGTCAGGTATTTATTTATATAATAAATACCTGACAGGTTGGTCAGGTATAAAACAAAGTATTATTCTGGCCTGCATCAAAAGCAGCGTGGCCAGCCGGTTGAGGGAGGGGATTCTGCCCCTCTGCTCTGCTCTGGTGAGACCCCACCTGCAGTGCTGCGTCCAGCTCTGGGGCCCTCAGCACAAGAAGGACATGGGCCTGTTGGAGTGGGTCCAGAGGAGGGCCACAAAAATGATCCGAGGGCTGGAGCACCTCTCCTACGGGGACAGGCTGAGAGAGTTGGGGTTGTTCAGCCTGGAGAAGAGAAGGCTCCGGGGAGACCTTATTGCGGCCTTTCAGTACTTAAAGGGGGCCTACAGGAAGGATGGGGACAGGGTTTTTAGCAAGGCCTGTTGTGACAGGACAAGGAATAATGGATTTAAACTCAAGAAGAATAGATTTAGACTAGACATAAGGAAGAAATTTTTTACAATGAGGGTGGTGAAGCACTGGCACAGGTTGCCCAGAGAGGCAGTGGAGGCCCCATCCCTGGAAACATTCCAGGCCAGGTTGGACGGGGCTCTGAGCACCCTGATCTGGTTAAAGCTGTCCCTGCTCACTGCAGGGGGTTGGGCTGGATGAGCTCTGAAGGTCCCTTCCAACCCAAAGCATTCTATGGTTCTATGATTACTGAATGAAAGGGTTACTTGAAACTACCCTGTCCCAGGATTAGGACCATCAAGGGAAAAAAGTATTTTTATTAACAGTATGAAACAGGTTATGCACATCTGGAAGGAAAATACAGTCAAAGCTCAAAAACATTAAGAACATTGTTGATGAGATGTTTGGAGGAAAAGAAAATCTAAAAGATACATTGTTTTCTGCAGAAAGACTTCCAAAAGAAACTCATAAAACCGTTCATGTATGTAACTACAGAACCTGAAACAAGATCTGGTGACAAAAAGTCTGTGAAATGTTTTCAGGAAGTTAACAATTAGAACTGGTTGGATAACTGCTATTTCAGGTCGCTTTTAATTTTAAGACCTGAAACTGCTTTTTACTGAAAAATTAAAAGGCAAAGAATTGGTGTGACATGCTAATAAAATATGCCATCCTAACACAACTAGAATGTTTTACGTGAGTATGTAAACCTCTTGGATTTTAAAAATAAATCATAACAGGAAATTATTTCTAGTTTTAAATTTTAATGTTTGGGTTTTTTTTTTTCTGAAAAGAAATGAACAGTGGTGATAATGGCATAGGTCTGCAGAGTAACTTGAACCTGCATTTGGATCTAAACTTTCATCATCTGAAAGTTTAGGCCATTTGTACTCTTAATATAGTGATTGGCAGTACCGCAGGGAAGTGAATGAAAAAGAAAAATGTATATATTATGTCCTCCATTACTTGCTTCCACGTAAGAAAATAAATATGTTTCAGAGTTTTGAGAAGTTGCAGAAGCTATAAAGAATTGAGAATGAATGATTCCCAGTCAGAGTAATCCATTAAGAACTGCTGAAAGCAGACCACCTACACACTGTTTCTGACAAAGAGGGAAAAAGAGATTTTTCAGTGCTGCAACAGTTCAAAAAAGAGTATTAGAAGAAAAAGACCTATGTGACTGCAACGGTTTCAGAGATTTTTTTTTTTAAATGTTTGTGTTGAATTATAGGTGATAAAATGTATTAGGTTTTGCATATACTTCTTAATGGCCTTAGATACATAATGAAGTGCCCTTTAATGAGCTGTGCTGTGGGTACCGTGGTGCTACTGCAAGCCAGTCAAATAAAGCTTGCTGGAGTGGAGAACAGACCAACGGAAAGCTACTAATGAAACAACTGTGTTAACCTAGATGCTTCTCCACAAGATACGAGATTAAGTCACTTTACTCCTGTGCTCAAAATACTCCTTATAAAACCAAAAGAAAAAAAAAACCTGTCTGAGAGATATTACCATTCCTCTCAACAAATGCAATATGTAATCCAAACTTCTTAGTTACAGGAGGAGAACATGAAGCATGATTTAGAAAGGGGCCAGATTCTTCCAGTTATAATCTTCTGGCAGCTTTAGCAATGACTGGCAGACCTGACGAAACAGAGATGCATTGGATTTTAAGCCTGACAAGGAAGAGC